ATATGTACAGGACAAAATTAATAAGTTACAACAAGCCATAATATGATCGCTCCTGTGTTCCAAGAGGTCAAAACTTAGATGTTTGAGATTGCGGGTTCGCACTACCACCGAGTCATATGAAAGATATATAAAAATGTTACTAGCAGCTACATCACTTGGTTTTCAGCAGTAAGAGTTTAGTGTTATGACTGATAATAGACATGGTGTCAGGAGAATGTAACTGGATGAGACACGATGCTACATGTCTGCGGCATGGGTGACAAACGATGCTACATGTCTGCGGCATGGGTGACATAAGATGCTATATGACTACGGCATGATGCCCTAGTGCTAGTCATCACTCACAATGTAGGAAGAAATATTTGTTATATGCCATTTTTCAGCACATGTTAGGCTACACATGATACGGGGTATTAACTAGGATATTTCCTATTTCTTTCCTGCTTCCTACTTATCCTATTCCCAAATTTTAGTTACAAAGCCATGGGTTCAATACGTCATACTGACATATGCCAAAACATGTCATTAAGCACTAGCAGTTTACATTTTGAAGGATAAACGAAAACTTTATTAGGGAGGAATAGTGTTACCCATGTCCGTTTGTCTGTTCCATCTTTCAAGTCCGACGAACCGTAAACAAAGTTTTCAATCAAAAACGTTAGAAGGGCTTCGCGTATTAGAAGGAAATGGTATAGAGTTCTATTCGCTTATAAGACGAAGAAAATGGTATACGTTTATATTCGCTTATAAGACGAAGAAAGTGGTATACTGTTATATTCGCTTACAAGGCAAGTCCAACTGTAAACGTCACAGACACAGATCTGCCGGCGCCTAATGCATTGGCAGATCAGGATTGGTACAGTTTGTTAGAAAAGTAATCAGTAGAACAAGCAGTACATACCCTGATTAGCTGGCATATTATGCTACGGCAAAGCAGGATAACTGTTTCTTGCATGGCGACTAGTCTTATAAGCGAATACAATGGGTATGAACATTTGTGGCGTTGTTGCCATTTTCTGGCCCCATTTGAATCAGCCCTTTGCAAGTCTGGGGATGTGAAATAGGTCCTATATACATATTCCTGTATATCGTAAGAGGTGACCAATGGAGGCACGAACCACGGTATATCGGTGGCTAGTGGAGGCACGAACCACTGTATATCGGTGGCTAGCAAACCGGAATCACAACTGAAAGAGGGGCCCCGAGTGGCCGAGTAGCCTAAAGCGCTATCCGTTACGGATCACTGCCATCTCACCTCTGTCTGCGCGTGTTCGAGTCTAGGATTCGGCGAATGTGGATATGTGAGAAAGCTTGCCAGTAGCTTCCCGTGGGTCGGTAGTTCTTTCCGGTGATCACCCGGTTTCTTCCCCCATCATTTATACTGGCCGCCATGAATAGCCTATCGTGTGCTGAAAAATGGCGTTAAACCCAACAACAACAACCGAAAGACTGAGAAATAGAATCCTCTTATCGGATGAACTCTGGTCGGTAACTATGGTATGTCATGGGATAAGGTACTTAATTTCAATTGTTACGGCACTAAATAAACTACAGTTGCTGTGCCGTTGAACACAAAATCAAACTAAAACACAATTTTAACGAGTTATGGGCATTGTCGGACTTGGAGCTGAGCCACTTCATATCTGAACCTACGATTTTTCGATTTCACTTTGGGGGAAATCTTTGTCTTTTAATCATATTTCTCGTATATTTATCCATCCTTCAAACCGTCAAGTGTAAGCAGATAGACTAAACTGGACATGAATCACTGTCTGGTCATTTATAAGGCGGAGTAGGCATATGGAACTTTTGTCAGGCTTTATAAAATCAGTAAGCTAGATGGATTTGATCTTAATTTATCGGTCAACAGAAATCCTGTAAAATACAGACCACATACAAAAGAGGGCCATTTGAGATCAGCTGTGATACAAGAGACGGAATTAGAAGTTATTCAAACGAACGTATATTTTTTACAGTAAAATTAATATACATGTCAGTACAAAAAGGAATAAATTGGATATTGCAACTTCGGATCCATAAATATTACTGAATGGAAGGGACGAGCGTGGACGAGCAGACGAGAGGTTTCTGAACAGGAATTTCAGGTGGTGATAGTTGTGGTGGAGCCAAGGGTGAAGCTCCACTAAGCATTGTCATATTAAACGTTTCCATTGCTGGTATCTATCCAGCTGCAAAAAATATAAGTTCTGGTCCCCCCCCCCGTTCCACCCTTTTATTATATGCAAACCATCTCTTGAACTCAAACATCTAATCCCTATAGAAAATACAATTCTGAACGTAGATTAAAATTATAGTACACACACACACACAGACATGAGGTGGGGAGGAAAAGAGCGATCAGGTAAGAACGCTACTTTTGCACGACCGATTTGTCCAACAAAAGCCCAGTTTTACAGGATTAGCCAGCCGAAGGAAGGCCTACTTCACGATTTCACATTATCGACATGTACGGTATATACTGCAGTGGGTTTAATGTTCGGGTCAGTAACATTTATTTACAGTACAAATTGTGGTTCAAGGAAAAATGTCTTCGTTACGCCATTGCTTGAAGGCAAGATGAACTCCTAACGGACTGACCTAAATAATACGGCTAATCAAGATTACCTGAATCTATCTTATTATCCGAATCCACTTACCCTGGAGGTAAGTGAAACAAGCAAATAGCGTTGCAAATACTTTTCAACACCCTCTTGTTTCTTTAGCGAATTTAATTTAATCTTATAAATATTACCGTATTACCCGCGGTGTGTATGTACAAGGAGAGAGAGAGAGAGAGAGAGAGAGAGAGAGAGAGAGAGAGAGAGAGAGAGAGAGAGAGAGAGAGAGAGAGAGAGAGAGAGAGAGAGAGAGATGTCTATTAGTAAATACATCTATGTATATGGTCGGATGAGTAGTGTATGTATGTACGTATGTATGTATTCATCTGTATGTATTCATGCAAGTATGTAAGGTTACATAGTTACGGAGGGATTGATTTTTTTTTTGTTGGAAGGTTGATTAGAATATAGATGTAGAATTGCTTGTAAAGCTGTAAACATCACCTTTACAAATATTTATCGAGAACTACATTTGCATAAAGATCATGTGTTTGACTAGTTACGCTAGTACACGCACCTTCACCATTATGCATGCAATTCCATATGTACATGAGACATATTATAAACACCACAATGTTTCATGCGGAGAAAGTGGTGACTGGAGTCAGTTGTTTACTAAATGTCTCTATATGCGTAAATAACAAATTGGTTGAAGTCATGCACACTCATTGGAAAGAAAGATTAATCGTTTTTACTTGATCGTCATATCAATCAAAATCGTCAAACATGTAAACACACAAAGTAATAAGAGAATGAGGTTGGGAGTCTGGTGTAGGGTCTCAGCAGCTAGTCATATTCAAGGGAGTTAATTAATAATTCGAGTAATACTATTTATGTAGATTTTCACTCATAACAAACATTGTCCATTTTCAAATTAAATAAATTTGTATTTAATTTGGATTCTATAAGCGTCACGAAAAAATATCTTTAATCGTCATAATATGCCGACAACGTTACTTCCCAGTACAGGTGCCCTGACAAAAGTACTGGTACTGGAACATATATAACGATATTTTTGACGATCTGCCCTAAATACGTTGATGGGTGTTGTTGTTATGGGCTTAACGGCATAGCACAACATTTGGACTTAACCTGATAATGAATGACCATGGAAACTGATGTCTCGACTTAAGTAACTGTAGAAACAGCTTGGGTTTTGTAAATATTTACAGTATGGGTGGGATGGAGTGAAAATAGGTATGAGAGGTGTAATGTAACAGATTGTCTAAAAATTACACTCTTTATATAAATTCTTTATATAAATCCTGCAAGTTATGTGATCTGCGAATAAAAGCAATAAGCACAAAACTTCTCAAGAAATGACACAAATTACCCAGACTGGTTATCATGCAGTATCATGTACAGTATCCGTACCCTATGAGCAAGACAATTACCATTGCTTTCTAGTAAGGTATATAGCTATTTAACGCTTGACGTAACGCTTTACGTGTATTTTATAATTTCAACCTTGCCGTTACACGTAGCACGTAGCACATTCATCCACAATTAACAATTTAGTGATTCAAGAACTTTTGATTTAGACTTTTGAAATATACATTATAATTAAAAAAGAAAATAAGGATGCGGGTTGGTTGTGTGTGTGCGTATGCGCGCGCGTGTGTGTGTGTGTGTGTGTGTGTGTGTGTGTGTGTGAAAGAGATTTAGATTTTTAACATAGCTGTAAAATGTTTGTCATATCGCTATGTCTAAAGTGTGACAGTTTATAGTGATATCTAGAACCCCTCAAACACGTGGCATGATGTCCAGTCGCATTATTCTGACACCAGGCCGACCAGTCCTAACCTCTTAATGCTGAGCGCCAAACGAGGCAGCTGTTAATACATTTTTGTAAGACTTTGGTATGACTCGGCCTTAATATATACATTTTTAAAATGAAAATTGGAAATAATTATGTGGGCAGGTGACTCGTACTATATCGATTGTTTATACCTTAAAATTGCTGCTTTAACAACACCAAAACTTGCTGTGTAATGCATGCGAGACTCGATCACACCAACAGACTTGTACTCGACCTCCTGTAACAATAACTTCGCTTTTTAAGTCGTTTTCTCTGCGTCGGCATAAGCACATGCTACTAGCGCTACTACTACTACTACTACTACTACTACTACTACTACTATTACTACTACTACTACTACTACTACTACTACTACTACTACTAGTTATAGTAGTAGTGTATTTGTCTTTGTGTGTGTGTGGAATTGAATATGTTGTCCGCACTATCGATCCATTCACAATGAACCGGTAGCTTGAATAATAGGGGCAGCGATCAGTAAGGACTGCGACACGCCATTATATATCGCGATTAGCCGGGAGCGTTAAGTTGAAGCAAATAAGATATGATTGTCCAGCTGTTAAACCGTTCCTGTGGCTTAGTGGTTAGAGCGTCAGTCTCGAATGCGGGAGGTCGTGGATTCGATCCCTGGTTGAGTCATACCAAAGACTTACAAAAATGGTACTAACATTTGCCTCGCTTGACGCTCAGCATTAAGAGGTGAGTGTTAAGACCAGTCTGCCGGGTGTCAGGATAATGTGACTGGGTGGGACATCATGCTACATGCCCCAGCGCTAGACATCACAATAAACTGCCATACTGCAGACATCGTAGCAATATGACTGAAAAATTGTTAAAGCTACGTTAACAAAATCACATCACATCAACATCACCAGCTGTTGACTGAAGCTTACATTCAGGACTGATGCAGTAAACATTCCATCCCATTACTGCTAATAAACAAAGCCTGACAGAATCGAAATGCTGGTATCGAGACAAGGGAATTTATATTCATTACTTAATGTAGACATGATGGAACAATCTTCTATCTGCGAATGACCCGAAAATCGCTGTTTTGAAAAAAATTAGAAAGCCCAAATCCCTTTTTTGTATCCCAATATTTTAATATTTGCAAATATAATCTTTAGTAATTTGGTTGAGCGGAAATTTGAAACAGACGTTATCATCTAAATTTCAAAGTTGATGAATGCCAGTTTGTTTCCTTTGTCCCAATATTTGAATTGTGTAATACATCATTTGTTCCCTTTAGTTTCGGATTTAGCTTTCTTGTTGTTTGCTTCAGTTGCAGCGCTCAAACACTTTTCTGAACTCGACTGCCCGTCTTCTATGACGAATTCAGTCTGCTACTGTTGGTACAAAGAATGAATGGTTGTATTTATATTGATCTGCACATCCAGGATATCTCTTACTGCTATCGTTATGTACATAAATGTCATCGAGTACACTTCCAATTGTTATGGCAAGCTGTATCTTCTAGTTGACACTCCATTCGTCGATATTTTGACCCTGGATTCTTTGTGCCAAATAAATTGTTTTTAGCCTGCAAGCAAAAAGTATAATAAATAAATATTGATTTATGACAGTTATTTTATGTATGATCATTTGACCCGAATTATACATACATACATACATACATACATACATACATACATACATACATACATACATACATACATACATACATACATACATACATACATACATACATACATACATACATACATACATACATACATACATACATACATACATACATACATACATACATACATAAATCGGTAAACTAACAAGAAAAAAAACCCAACAGTTATGACTTTGCCTGTTTGACCTTTCAACATGTAAAAGAATACAAAGGATGCTGTTCTTAGTTGTGAATACCTGAATGTGATTGTGTTATTCAGTTATAAGTTATTTTTTGGAGGAGGAATGTTTTTTCTTGAATGATTGTACTGTGTAGTTTCGTTTGTTACATGTACAAGACCATAATCACACTACATAATATTGGGGTCCTTTCCTTGGTGTGATGTGGGTGAGGTGGTTGGTTTTTAAATAAGACGGTGCGATTTGGAGCGTATGTATAGTAACAACTATATGAAATGTGTCAAATACAATGCTTTTCATATAAAAATGAACATAAATTGGGTTTATTTTTAAAAAAATAGTTTACCATTTTTAGATGTATATACGAGAGAGAGAGAGAGAGAGAGAGAGAGAGAGAGAGAGAGAGAGAGAGAGAGAGAGAGAGAGAGAGAGAGAGAGAGAGAGAGAGAGAGAGAGAGAGAGAGAGAGAGATGGTTGGTCATATAAGTATATGCTCTGTCTAGCAGAATAGATTGATTACTCAACACGTAGTAGTTCGTACGGCATTCAAAATAATAGCGTACAAGATTACACGTTCTTTCTATATATATGTTCCACCGGTAGGTGTTTAAGACTTCGGTCACTAATATAATGAACTGTACCGTATCTATAGCAGTGTGCTCGTCTATATGAGGCTATTTTTGCCAAGTATAAAAAGTAGGTACATCTATTGGTTACATTGTCTTATAGACTCAAAACCAATCTAATGAAATCCGCCTGCCTATTTTCCTCCGGCTCTTTCGTACACGTACCTAATAATCGGTTGGTTTGTTTATTCTATTTGTTTACCTCAGCAAGTAATTAGGTTATTAGTTAATTATGCATATATGGTTATCTCATTACATCATTACATCAATAATGTTTTGATCGGTATAGGTGATCACAGAAATTTACTTTGCAATTTTTTACCCAACTCAATCAAGTCCACCACCACCCAGTTGTAAAATATCGCTGCGCTTTATCTAAAGAGAACGAGAGACAAATTCCCCACGGTTTCAAAATTGATAGATCAGCTGCAAAAATTTAAAATTTCTCTCTCCGTTTACGCATCGCACAAGTTCGAATAGTTGATAAATATCTCTTGCAAATTGGGTGAAGACATAACCGTAATTTCACAAGTCTCATCAACAACCGACTATTCTACTGAAAAATACGCATATTCGTCAAGCTTTGTAACAGACATACAAACAACGTAAATAACAGGTGGGTCGAGACAGTAAGCTAGAAGTATGTGTTTCAGTAGGTAGATAGACATGTAGATAAAACGTAGGTATCACGGGATACAGACAGACAGACAGACAGACAGACAGACAGACAGACAGACAGACAGACAGACAGACAGACAGACAGACAGCATAAGCATCCAGCAGTACTGTTCAAGATATCAGGAGCTAAATACTTAAACGATTAAGCAATGATGCATGAGAGAGTAGAATCTGCTAAATACTGGATAATCAACTTATAGCTACAAATTGTATTGGAGTGATTAGGTCTAAGACGATAGATAATCTACTTATCAGTTTCAGGTAGGTAGGGTCAACGCACCGTCATTAGATAATAGAAATACCTGCGTAAAATGACTACCCCCGTGCCGTTAATACCCTGTTTCGGTGAAATCCAACTTCCAACTCGCCAGGAACCGATGCGCTCTGACCTCGCCTCACATTTATGATTTTGCCGCTCATTAGACACTAACCAAGTTGCCCATCTCCGCCTCCCACGGGCCAAACACAAAGCCTCAAAACCACAACCTTTAAAGATCATGACACCTTTAAATACTAGGGAAATGTAACTGAATGTTTGTATATTTTTTTAAATAACGAAAACATATTCAAGCAAAGTCAGCTTTTCATACCTTAAAATCCGCTTTCTGAATTTTTACGCCCTAAGCAGATGTCTGCATAATGGAAAATCTGCCACTCATTTTAACATAGCTATCCAAATATCTAAAACTAGTTAGTAAAAACATGAATAGTACAAACTGTATTCATGCAAAAAAGATTGTACCCTACATTTGACTTTTTACAACAGAGCAGTCACACTCTACAACCAAATTTTATCCCGTTATAATTAAGGAGTCATCAAAAGTTTTTCAAATAACATATTCCAATGACTGTACAATTATTAGATTGTATGACATATGCAGCTGGTCTATAAATGGAAACGGACCTTGTACATACACTGCACACAAAACGGAACCTTTGCGCGTGACAAGTATCGTACTATAAGCGAATGCTGACGTAACAAGTAACGTATCTATCAGCATAGTCCGTGGTATTCGGTATTTTTGTAATTATTTTACAATTTTGCTTACGTGTGCTTAAAGCACAGGGCCCCTTTTGACCAGGGGACCCATCTCTTGGCACAAAAAAAAAAAATACGATGAATTTTTGAAAAGTATGTGGCTATTTTAACTACTTCTAACTTTCCGGAGTATATATGCCTGACTACCTGTGTAGGCCTACCGCCTTCAGGGCCCAAGTAAGGGGTCTCAACTTAACTAGCACAGGGCCTCGTTTGTTCTAAATGTGGCACTGACGGCATCAGTTTTTTTTCACTGTTGTTTTCATGTTCATCTTTGTCAAATTGAAGTCCGCTGTACTTATGAGTAGTTTTTTTTTTTTTTTAGTGTGTACCAGAAATAAAGACGGATCAAACAAAGGGAAAGTTTTGTTTGATGTCTATATAGTTAACTGTATCTTAACATTTATGTAAAGACAAATTATTAGATGAAGTGATTGATTGGTTCACAGGTGACGCAGTGAATATTGCCTACAATTTAAACATGAAAGGTTAACCTGAAATGAAATAGGTAGTAATAATAGATACGTAAGATAATTAAGGACCAATCCTGAAGTTTCGAGATTTTTGTTTGTCTTTTGTTAAAAATGTAAAACTACTACTACTGCTAATGCTATTACTACTACTACCACTGCTACTACTACCAACACTACTACTACTACTACTCCGGTGGCTTAGTGGTTACGATGGCTTAGTGGTTAGATCGTCTGCCTCCGATTCGTGAGGTCGTGGGTTCGATGCCCGGTTGAGTCATACCAAATACTTACAAATGGTACTAACAGCTACCTCTCTTGATGCTCAGCATTAAGAGGTTAGTGTTAGGATTGGTTGGCCTGGTGTCAGAATAATGAAACTGGGTGGGACATCATGCTACATGTCTGCGGCATGGTGCTCCAGTGCTAGACATCACTATAAATTGCCACACTGAAGACATCGTATGACTGAAAATTGTTATAGCTGCGTTAAAAATCATAATCACATCACATCACATCACATCACATCACATCACATCACATCACATCACATCACATCACATCACATTACATCGCTACTACTGCTACTACTACTTTACACCATTATAATAACGACTGTCAGTTTCAATGCGGAAAAGAAGAATTGGTGACTAACAGGACTGATTGGTTGGTTGGCTGGTGGTAAGAAATATGTATAAGCCAATGAAAAGGTAATGCAGAAAGTGGAGAAGAAAACCCGACGTGTGACACAACGACAGCATCGTTATAAAAGATCCCCCAAAATAATAACAATAATAATAATAATAATAATAATAATAATAATAATAATAATAAGAAGAAGAAGAAGAAGAAGAAGAAGAAATACTAATACTACTACTACTAATAATAATAAAATAATAATAAAATAATAATTATTATTATTATTATTTCTTCTTCTTCTTCTTCTTCTTCTTCTTCTTCTTCTTCTTCTTCTTATTATTATTATTATGTCTTCTTCTTCTTATTATTATTATTATTAGTATTAATTTTATTATTATTATTATTATTATTATTATTATTAGTAGTAGTAGTAGTAGTAGTATTAGTATTTTTTCTTCTTCTTCTTCTTCTTCTTCTTCTTCTTCTTCTTATTATTATTATTATTATTATTATTATTATTTCTTCTTCTTCTTCTTCATATTATTATTATTATTATTATTATTATTATTATTATTATTATTATTATTATTATTATTATTATTATTATTATTATTATTTATTATTATTATTATTATTATTATTATTATTATTATTATTATTATTATTATTATTATTATTATTATTATTATTATTATTATTATTATTATTTGGCGTGACTACTGGTGGTCGTAGTGGTAGAAATGGAAATTATGGAAAACGACCAAGAACTTCTATGGTGACTTGCTCGGCCTTCCACTGGACCAAAACGTGTCATCGGACACAGATACAGACACGTACGACTTTAACCCTTTGGGCCAAGATTTGCATATAACGTTTGTTTCCCTATGCCATTAAATAGTTCCTCATGGGAACGTGGTATCCGCAGCTTGATTAATGTACCGTGTTATTGGTTTTTTAAAATGCCTTTTTAAAGTAATTAAGTGAAAGTAATATTTTATTTGGGTTTTGTTTAGGCCGACTCATTAGCCGTGTTAACAGCAACCGCAGTATCAAAGGCAATATTACGGTACTTGTTTTACCCAATTTCAACTTAAATGTGTATTATTATCACACAATTTCTATACAGTATAAATAAGCCACTCGTCATTTAAGCTCCCCAAAATTTTTGATAGTGCATGTATTATTTTTGTTATTAGCTATGGTCTGTGCATTTTTGTTTCCGACTGTCCGTTTTTAAGTCCGTCCGTCCATGAACACTACAACCTGCATGTATTTATATGATTATATTGTATTGATGGCTGCGCATTATTTTTCAAATGATCCTGTTATAGAAAATTGTGTGTGTGTGTGTTTTTTTTTTTTGGGGGGGTATTTTGATTTTATGCTAGTTCCTGTTTGGCAATATATATATTGCATTTTTTAAATCCTAGTTTGTAAACTTAATGGTGTATTTGTATGTAGGTAGGTAGGTAGGTAGGTAGGTGTGTGTGTAGGTGTGTAGGTGTAGGTGTGTATGTATGCATGTATATGTATTATTTGTGTATATGTTTGTATGTATGTATGTATGTATGTATGTATGTATGTATGTATGTATGTATGTATGTATGTATGTATGTATGTATGTATGTATGTATGTATGTATGTGTGTGTGTGTGTGTGTGTGTGTGTGTGTGTGTGTGTGTGTGTGTGTGTGTGTGTGTGTGCTGAGTAGAGTATATCTTCGGTACAGCGCCATATTATAATTGTGTAGAATATAGTAGTTGTATGTCAAGAGTCACGTCTTTGCAAGGAGTTACAGCCCCTTAGTTAGGTCTGCCGTGAAACAGCGATCCATTTAATAGCTCCAACACGGCAGAATGTGATTAGTAAGGCGATGTGAGCCTCAGAGAGTAGTCGGTTTAGTACATGCTATCTGTTGTCGTGTTGTACATATCCTGTTTCAAACAGCGTTACTGTGTATTGGTGATTTTATTTATATCACATTCACATTTACTCTGGATTTAATATAGGAGTGGAGGGCTTTGTGTTTTGGGGAGCGCCTAATTGAAGACATGACCTGTGTTTTATCAATGACCACATTCTACAAAGGCCCGTGTCCAGGGTTTGGTAGTAATAGCGACAGCGGCCTAGTGCCCGACCCAAGGGATTATGATGACACATGGGGTCCCGACCCCACGTTGCAAGCCGGAGGGGAAGGGCACCATACATTTCCAAGCACTACGTGTCGAGTAGAGGCCAGCTCCACCTGTACTAATTTCAACGTTACAAGTGACATTAACTCGATGCACGGTAAGAAAGCGTTTTTATATACGTATTCAGACTGATTATTTTGTGAGATTTATGGACGTGACTTATTTTATCACAGTGTATATTGTTTTGTAAACCTCACGAATATTGTTACAAATTTAAGTCACGTACTTAATAACGTACAAAATGAGGTCATCCGGTATTGTTCTTTGTTAAACAAAATTCACTTCACTTTTATGAGCTCTAATTAAAACATATGCCAGTTAACATTAATATTTATTTTAAAAAATAAAGTCTTATTGAAACGAAAACAATAAGCGTCATACAAGTTACTATAATTTTTTCGTTTATAAATTGATGCAGGGCATGTCCCCATACATTGGTGAATCAATTATCTTTTGAAAATCTCCATACTCCAATACTCCGACGACATAGTTGGTTTTCTTTGTTTGCCGGCCACTTGCCTTTGCTGGGCAAACCTGCCTTCGCAGAGTCGTGTCTACTGGCTTAGCTGTGCGCCACACATGCTGAAAAGGCTCGGTTTGGGAAAATATCGGAAACGACGAGTTGATGGGGCTAGTAAACTATGTTACGGCCATAATCGCACAACTATATGCCGTTGATTAGCTATCGCTTTATATAGCCTTATGATGATTTTTGTAATTGAATATTACAACCTGTATTTGTGAGTATGTCTACTTAATGAACTAACTTCAGGCTTGACTTGTCACTGTTTGTGGTATGTTATATTTTCATCAATAAGGAAGACAAAGAAAATAGCAAAATTATTGTTGTGGTTTATGATTCGTTAAAGTTGATTCGTTAAAGTTATATAAAGAAAAAAAAAATACCCGTTGAATTTAGATAGCCATATCATCCTTGATTGCTGATTCAGTAAACATGAAACTAATAATAAGCAAGTAAATGAGAAATACTTCCAATTCGCTATTTTAGGCTAATAAATTTTACCATTACGTTATCAAATGTTACTTTTTGTAAAGGGGGGGGGGCCGAGTGACCGAGTGGTGTAAAGCTTTAACAATTACATACAGATCATTGACATTTACTGCGGGAGCCTCGGTTCGGCCAACGTGGGTATGTTACAAAGCTTTCCCAGCAGCTTAGATGGGTCAATGGATCATTCCTGGGCTTTTTTCTTCAGGTTCTTACTATACCAAATATAGTGGTCGCCATGTATAGCCTACAATCGCTAGACAGAAGACAAATGAATGCAAACATTACCGTTAGTTTTACGTGGTAAACATTGCCTTATGGATGGCTTGTATGGGGTGGGGAGTAAGTGGTCTGATTATACTTGTAGTCAAATCTGATGGATAACATTAAGGGGTCATATTCTGTTGACACTGTAATTCACTCACAATTTCTAGATTTTCTGAACGTGAAAACGTCATTATAAACTTTCCTTTAGCAAGGGTAACTCGCTTAAACGTAAAATGCAAGACTGTCAGAAAATGAATTTATGGATCGTCTCGCAGAGCGATTTTTAATCGAATTGGATAAACAAAAGGCCTGTTGATTTTGGTGTCAAAATGGCATAATTTAAGGTTACTGGTTAGTGTTCATTTGTACATAGGGGATACGAATATAAAGGACAAATGATTTATATGGGGGAATGGATGAGGGTGAGTCCAGCTGGGATATTTTGTTTCTTTTACCTCAAAATAATTCAGTTTTTTAACGAATAGAATAGATGTAATGGTTATATTTTTCGATACATTTGAGGAAAACTTTTTTTTTCTCCCATGGTATTTGGCAGCCAAACTTAGTCTGATAAATAAATTCCATACTTCCACCCCCGAACTAAAATGAAATTGCTGGCCTCTAATGTTCACCGTACTCCTTTTTTATTACTAAACAAGGATTGCTCCTAACATGATTTTCTTGTTCATGTTTACAGGGGGTTGCATCATTGATGTCACCGAGGAAGACAAGCCAATAAAAGACAAGCAAGCGAACATGTGTAATATTAATAAAGATAATAATGACAGTATTGATGTGTGTCAGAAACAAGGAGCAAAACGAAAATTGGATTGCGACTCTGATGATAATACAAACTATATCCCACCCAAACGAATATCCCCCTTTTTAAATACACCTAAAGAGAGAAAAGAGGAGAGAAAGAAAATTCTGAGAATGTCTATTCAAAAATTAAGGCAAGTTGAAGATCCTGAACATTTTTTAAGAAGGTCTGTGCTTATTAACAACACAATGAAAAGAATGCAAAAAGAACTTCGAGAAGAGAGAAAGAAACATGTACGAAATACACACAATGGATATAATATTTATCGTATGCGGCCATCGTGTGATTATGATGTATTAAATAACAGTTATTTATCCAACGCATGCTTTTATGAGGATCCATTCTTAACAGGA